GGAGGTTGCTGGCAAAGGGAAAGTGAGACTGCAACTGGGAAGTGTGTCACTGCAGATCAGTGATGTGTTTTTTGTCCCAGGCTTAAAAACAAACTTGCTAAGCATGGGACAGTTACAAGAGAAGGGCCTGGAATTCCTGGTCAAAAGAAATGTATGCAATATCTTCATGGAAAACAAGGGTTTCCTGCTGGAAACCAGTATGAGAGCTAACAGAATGTTTGTGCTTAAAGATGAATCCAACAGGGTTGAAGCTCATTACCTGCAAGCTGATGATATCAAGGATTCCTCTCTGAGTCTCTGGCACAGGAGATTTGGTCACTTGAATCCAGAAGGGCTACTGCAAGTGAAGAAGAAAGGCCTGGTTACAGGCTTACCAGACTTAAAGGGTACTGTTGGAGTCTGTGTTACTTGTCAGGTTGGCAAGCAAACCAGACAAGCCTTCCCAAAGCACAGTCAGTGGAGAGCAAATAAAAAATTACAGCTGATCCATGCAGATTTATGTGGCCCTATCACCCCTATTTCAAATGGTGGGAAAAGGTATATATTCACTCTGATTGATGATTACAGTAGGAAGTTGTGGGTTTATTATCTGGCTAATAAGTCTGAGGCTCTTGAATGGTTTAAGAAATTCAAAGTCACTGTGGAAAAGGAAACTGGTCTGTCTATTATGTGCCTTAGGACAGACAGGGGAGGAGAATTTTTGTTAAGTGAGTTTCAGTCATTATGTATTGAAACTGGGATCAAAAGGCAGCTCACTGCTGCACTCACACCTCAGCAGAATGGGGTGGCTGAGAGAAAGAATAGAACAGTCATGAACATGGTGAGATGCATGTTGAAAGACACACAAGTACCTGCAGGTTTCTGGCCAGAAGCAGTCAATTGGACAACTCATGTCCTAAACAGAAGTCCTACAGTGGCTAATCAAGGAAAAACTCCTCATGAGCTATGGTCTGGTGCTGCTCCTTCAGTCTCTTATTTCAGAGTTTTTGGCTGTGTGGCATATGCACATGTGTCTGACAAGCTAAGGAAGAAGCTGGATGACAAGAGCATACAATGCCAGTTCCTGGGAATCTCCACTGAATCCAAAGCTTACAGGCTCTATGATCCAGAAAACAGGAAGATTGTGGTGAGCAGGGATGTGGTGTTTGATGAAAGTAAAGGTTGGAAGTGGAGATCTGCAACTCCATCAGTTCAGACAAGTCTGATTTGGGAAGGAAGTGAAGATCCATTTGTTGATTCAGATGGGGAGGAAGGTCCTCAGATTTTGGACACTCCATTTACTCCAGAAGAAGCAGCAGAAGAACCAGCAGGTCCAGAAAGTCCTGCCACACCAACTGGGACAAATACAAATGAAGAAGATGATGATAATGCCTCTACTGATGTGTTGGGATTGCCTAGAAGCACTGATCTGGGCCCCAGAACCAGAAAACCTCCAAGTCATCTGGCTATTTATGACTGCAACAGTGTGGAAGAAGTGCAATCAGAATGGTTGGCAATGGCTGCCACAACAAAAGATCCTCAAACCTTTGAAGATGCAAGCAAAGAGCACATCTGGAATGAGGCTATGAAACTGGAAATGCACAGCATTGAGAGGAACCAGACCTGGGAACTGACAGAACTGCCAGAAGGTATTATCCCTATTGGTTTGAAATGGATTTATAAGACCAAATTCACTGAAACAGGTTCTTTGGATAAGCACAAGGCCAGGTTGGTGGTCAAGGGGCATGCTCAGAAGTTTGGAGTGGATTACAACGAGGTATTTGCACCAGTGGCTAGGTGGGATACCATTAGGTGTCTCTTGGCATTTGCTGCACATCATGGACTTACAGTCTGGCAGCTTGATGTTAAGAGTGCATTTCTGAATGGGGAGCTCACTGAAGATGTGTATGTTGAGCAACCACAAGGGTTTGTGGTTGCTGGGGAGGAATATAAGGTCTACAAACTCAAGAAAGCACTTTATGGCTTGAAACAAGCCCCCAGGGCCTGGTACAGTCGCATTGAAGCTTATTTTCTAGCTTCTGGTTTCGAGAAAAGCCAGCATGAAGCCACATTGTTCATCAAGAACACTGAAAAAGGATCACTGCTGGTTAGCATCTATGTAGATGATGTATTGAACACTGGTACAAGCACTGAAATGGTTGAAGAATTCAGAAGATCCATGGAGGCTGAGTTTGAAATGACAGATCTTGGGAAAATGAAATATTTCCTGGGAGTAGAAGTAATGCAGAGAGAAGCTGGCATCTTCATTTCACAGCAGAAGTATGCAAAAGAGGTCTTGAAGAGGTTCAATTTGGCTGAGTGCAATTTTGTGCACAATCCTATTGCTCCTGGAACTAAGTTAACTAAAGCAGGAGATGGCTGTTTGGTGAATGCTACTGAGTACAAACAACTTATTGGCAGTCTGCTGTACATTACAGCCACACGACCAGATTTGATGTTTGCTGTGTGTTCTTTAAGCAGGTACATGGAGGCTCCCACGAGGCAACATCTACTGGCAGCCAAAAGGGTTCTAAGATACTTGAAAGGAACTCAGGGCTATGGTATCTGGTACAAACAAGGAAGTGGAGAGGACTGTCTGATGGGCTTTACAGACAGTGATTATGCAGGAGACTCTGATGACAGGAAGAGCACTAGTGGGTACATCTACTTTCTTGCAGGAGGGGCAGTGTCCTAGGCTTCCAAGAAGCAGCCTGTTGTCACTTTGTCCACCACAGAAGCTGAATTTGTGGCTGCTGCATACTGTGCTGCTCAAGGGGTGTGGCTAAGAAGAATTCTTGCTGATATTGGGTGGAAGTCAAGTGTGGAGAAAGGGACTGTCATCATGTATGATAACAGCTCTACAATCAAGCTGTCCAAGAACCCTGTTCTCCATGGAAGAAGTAAACACATCGATGTTAGATTCCATTTTTTAAGGGAGCTGGTCAGAGATGAAGTTGTGGAGCTCAGGTATTGTGGCACTAAGGATCAGGTGGCTGATATAATGACAAAGGGACTGTCCTTGGAAGCATTCTGCAGGTTAAGGGAGGAACTTGGTGTTTGTGATGTTTCTGGAGCTGAGGCAAAGTGAAGAAGGCATGAAGAATGAACTGGAGCAGGCTGCTGAGGAGCTCCAGTTCAGGGGAGGATATGTTGGAAGAAATCCTTGCTGCTCTCGGATTCAAGAAGTATGGCGCCAATTTTTGAAAGCTGCTTACAGCTGGAGGAAACGGCGTCGTTTGGTTTAAGTTAATAAGCAATCCTGCGTTGTGCACAATTGCAGAGTCAGTCTTGGTTTTTTGTTTTGTTACAGTTTGGTCCCTGGTTAGTGAGTCAAAGCTGTTGAGCTTTTCCAGCTTAATCAGTTCAAGTAGTTAGTAGTGTTAGCGAGTTTCTTGGTTAGTGGAACGTTGGAGAGCAGTCTGAGAGGTCGTGTCTATCTCAAACCCTATATGTACTTGTTTTCCAGATCAATAAAGACTTGTCAGATTGCATTCATAAGTGTTTTACATGCTTGTCATCTTATCTCTTACACCATTGTCCCGATTCCCATCGCCGATCCTTCTTCTTTATCCGATTTCGGAATTAGGATCTAGTAGTCGGATTCCAGGAGCACCGGCTTGAAATGCTGTAGATAAGCCATCTTCAAAGCCCACACGGCTGCTTGTGCTTCAGCTAGTTTCGACGACAAAGAAACCCTCATCGTTTTTACCGCAACCATATGAAAACCTTCGTCCTCATCTCAAATCACTTATCCAAACCCAATACCTCCCGTTGCCATCACAATCGCATCGACATTCAGCTTATAGACCCTCCTTTATGGCTTCTCCCCATAGTAAACTTTAGCAAAGGTACAGACACTTAGAAGGGGTGGTTTGCTTCATGGATTTAAAAATAAGGGTTTTGTAATTTTAAACCCCAAGGATTTATCAAGGATTTGAGGCATTATGGATTTGTAACAATCCTTTATTTGTTGAGATGCTTTATCATGGATTTAAGAGTTTGGGTTTTAGAACTTAAAGTCCAAAATTAGCATACTATCATTTTCTATTTGTTTGTCATGTATATGATATGTACAGAAAACAAAGGCAGTACGTACTAATAAGCATAATTGTTGCCACAAGGACAATAATAATAAAACGCAAAAATTTCGTTTAACTTTTAACGAAACATATATCGGTTACCAATTTATTGTCCTCCTTTTCAAAAGTAACATATAACAACATATATTAGAACAAGGAAACAAAGAATTACACGTACCATGAAAAAGTTAAAGGAAACTAGAACACAAGAAAATGGTATACAAATCTAACTCATGTTTGCACATTAATTGAATGTTTATATTATTTATTTGTTGTTAATTAATTGATTATTTATAATGTACAATAGGTAAATGTGAGGGTAACCTTGGAATTTTAAAAGTTCATGAGGGTATATGGTAAAATTCCATCATGGATTTATGACATGTTACAAATCCCACATCAATATGTGGGATTTACAAGTCCGTGGAGTCCACGGATTTGGACTCTTAAAATTCGTAGGCCCCACGAATCTGGTCACTAAAAGAAATGCAAGCAAACGATGGATTTTTGTTATATCATATGTCATGTGATTGTCGTTTTTGTATTTTCTATCTTCTTCGATCTACACCTTACTAAAATTCAAATTATTCAGGTTCCTATATTATATTTTACAACATTTATTGACCAATTAGATTTTGGATTAGCACATTTAGGCACAAAATTTGACTAGTTTGATGTAAAGCAAATTAAGGTTGGCAATAGTTCAATGATTCACCATTTTTTTTTTACAGTTAATTCAACAACTCACCGGTATTCTAGGCTGGTTGGATAGGATTTGGATTTTGAATGATAGAAACGATGTCGTCGAAGCGGATTATTTACCAAGGAAAACAAATAATTTACAAAACCCAGGTTCGCCGATCCGACGCCGTAGCAGCCATCCCCACCACCGCCCAAACCTAATGGTAAATGGCAACAGCCCTCTAACGAACTTCCTCACCTCTGCCTCTCGTTCCCAACCCGCCAGCGTCCTTTGCACCTCTCGCCGACTGTTCCCTCCGCCGGTCCTTTTATCCAGCCGCCCGCACGACGCCAGCGGCGATAAGGAAGCAGGCCGCAGCGAGAAGTCGAGACCGCCATTGGGATAATTGCAAAAAAGCGAATGACGAGACGGCTATGACAACACAACTGCAGAGGAGCTTCTTATCCATCTCCTCTGCTTCCTCTTCTTTCTTGCCTTCGTCCTCTTCTCCCTTGCTAGCTTTGCGGTTTAATTCCCTGATGTCCAAGGTACCCTCTTAATTTCTTCTTCAGTTCTGCTAGTTAAGGGCTCACAGAACTGTGGGAAAAAAACTCGAGCTTTATCCCTTCTATGCTCTGATTGTTCTTCGTGTGGGGTGTACTTGGGCCAATGTGTGAGAATTTGGCTCTTGTTGCATTGGTGAAAGTAGCTAGTAACTTGTACATTTTAATGGTGGAAAATAAAATGTACTTTCCTTTGCAGTGCGGGATGCTGCAGAATGTTTCTGGGTTCGGGTTATTGTCTACTTCCCACTTTGTGAATCGTCAGAGGTGCAGGAACTTCACGCAACTTAGACTTAGAGCGCCCAGATTGTCGTCGGGCACGGTGGCTGATGTATGTATCTCCGGGTATCCTCGACTTGTTACTCCCAGGACCACCTCATGTTGCTGGGCTTTGAATCGAGAGGTTGGATTGACTGCACATGGTTATGGAGCTATCTTGACGAGGCATTTCTCTCAATCACCGGAAGCGGCTGAAAAGAATTTCACTAAGGGTAAACGTTCGAAGGGTTCAAAGGCTTGGGCTGCAAAGAGGAAGAACAGTTCTGCTAACACTAGCGTCTCAGCCTCCGATGATGTTGAGGCCTTGAACTCCAGCGATCATACGAATGGGAGCGTGCCTCTTGAATCATCTGTTTCATCTCCTTCTGCTACTGAGGCCCCCGAAGTCAATGGAAAACCGAAGGCAAGAAGCAAGAAAGGAAAAAAGAAACTTTCTGCTGTTGCTGCTGATTCTGCCAAAACTAGTTCAGAAGAGGTTTGTGAATTTATTTGTTTAAATATTTGGCATTTTAATCCTTTACTAGTCAGCAGTATTTAAACTGACATCTCCAGTCTTGCAGAAGAAGTCAACTGAAAAGGCATCCGAAAAACTGCTGGATGTTTCAGCTTCTACAAAACAGAAGGTCAAGAAGAAAAGTACTAACTCTCGGAGGAAGGGCAAATCGGCAACTGTTGGTGATGAGTCAGTTGAGAAGCAAAAACCTCAGCAGATGAGCAACTTGAAGCCTCCTAAACAAGGGACCTTGAAACAGTTGTATCCTCCTACTGGGAAATCTGTTGTAGTGGTTGAATCTGTTACAAAGGCAAAGGTCATTCAAGGGTATCTTGGCAGTATGTATGAAGTACTGCCTAGTTATGGCCATGTCCGGGACTTAGCTGCAAGGTCAGGATCCGTTCGCCCTGACGAGGACTTTAGCATGGTGTGGGAGGTTCCTTCTGCTGCCTGGACTTACCTTAAGAGCATTAAAGTCGCTCTAAGTGGGTATGTTTTCTGCGCCATTCAGTTTATTTAGTATTATGAATCAATATAAACTGAATGCGGCTGCCACAGCCATACCAGCACATTCATGTGGATTTCCCTATGTCGTGCCTACTCTTTGATTTGTATGTGTTTTTTTATCTTCTCATTATGTCTGTGTTCTGATGATCTCTTCTCGTGCTTGTCCCTCAGAGCAGAAAATCTTATTCTTGCGTCAGACCCTGATCGTGAAGGAGAGGCTATTGCTTGGCATATTACTGAGATGCTGCTGCAACAGGATGCCCTACATGAGGGTATCAATGTTGCAAGGGTTGTCTTTCATGAAATAACAGAAAGCTCAATTAAAAGTGCTTTGCAAGCCCCAAGACATGTTGATGTAAACTTAGTACATGCTTACTTGGCAAGACGTGCTCTTGATTATCTGATTGGATTCAACATTTCACCATTATTATGGAGGAAATTACCAGGGTGTCAATCAGCAGGGCGTGTGCAATCAGCTGCCCTTGCTCTTATTTCTGACAGGGAAGCTGAAATTGATGAGTTTAAGCCACAAGAATATTGGAGCATCGAGGCTAAATTGAATAAAGAAGTACAAGGTTCTGCACTCAGTGCACGCTTGACCTGTTTTGATTCGAAAAAGCTGAATCAGTTCTCGTTTAGTTCTGGTAAGGAGGTAGAGGACGTTGAACAGAAGATTAAAGCTACACAATTTGAAGTAGTTGGCTGCAAAAAAGGGCAAATGCGAAGAAACCCTCCCACTCCATACATCACATCAACGCTTCAGCAAGATGCTGCAAACAAATTACAGTTTAACACATCATACACTATGAAGGTATTTGGCATATGTTTATATTTCTAAAAAATTCACTTGGTACTTCCTCGAAAATTCCATGTGTAGCATTATCTATCCTTTCATGCCTGTGCATAATGCTATTATCATGAGTGGGGTTCTTCCTTTGATGTCATTTCATTGGTTTACTGTAATTGAATGCTGATTCCAGAAATTCTGCCCTCACTTTACTATGTCGTTCATAAAGATCGTAGAAAGTCCCGCGCTTTTGTTTGTGTTATACATTAGACAAAGTATTCATGTTCCAAGTTATTCTTGATTCTTCCCTTACCTTACAGAAGTTTTCACATTTATCGTTCTTTCATCTTGTTAGTTTTCCTGTTTAATTTGATTGTAAGTTGGTGATTTTTCCATTGCTCTTACTTGGAATTGATGCTCCAGCTTGCACAAAAACTTTATGAAGGGATTGAGTTGTCAGAGGGGAAGGCAAAGGGGTTGATTACGTATACCAGAACTGATGGTCTTCATGTAAGTCATGTCACACTGGTTGGTGACTCCTACTTGTGGCAATTATTTGTAAAAGCCATTCAGTTCTTTTCATGTTCCTTAAATTTATATTTCTACTTTTCCCTGCTCAGATTTCAGATGAAGCTCTCAAGGATATACGCTCTCTGATCACTGAAAGGTGAGTTTTTTGTGCCCTGATGTGTCTGGTAATCCTGTTTGTGTTTTGCTCCAGTCTGGACTTTAGTTTTAGGAACACATTTGTATGATTGTATAAATGACATCGTTTGGTATAATATCCATGCTTTGGACGACAGTTTTCTGCTGTTTCTGCTCTTTCATTTGTTTGTTATTTGTTCTACTGCTAAATTGAACAGTCCTTTTCCCATAGGTATGGCCCAGATTTTGCATCAGCAAGTGCACGCAAGTATTTTAAGAAGGTGAAGAATGCACAAGAGGCCCATGAAGCAATCAGACCAACCGACATTAAGATGTTCCCATGTAGGTCCACAGTTTACTAGAAACATAATATCTTGTCTCTAATTTGACATACATGCAAATTTGGGGTTTCTCCCATGGAATTGATGTGCTAGATGTCGATGATATTTTTTTCTGTTGACTTGTAGCAATGCTTGCCGGTGTTCTTGACGAGGATGCGTTGAAGTTATACACTCTTATCTGGTCTCGCAGTGTGGCATGCCAAATGGAGCCAGCTATAGTCGAACAGGTTAGTTATTACATTCTTGTTCCATAAATTCCACTCTCAAACTTGATTAATTTCTTGGAGTTAAACATATACTGTGGTTTCTGTTTTGTATAAATTGTACAGTGCTCTCTTTAGAGGATTTCCAATCCAGTTAATCCATGCAGTAATTAACATTAAGTTCGCTCATGTGTGTAACACATCCCCAAATACACTAGTCAATCTATGGCCATTAATGAACACATTGGAAGATATAAAATGATAAAGAAGTCGGTTATACTGACACCATCCAAGGCCAGTTACATGTAGGAACCCTAAATTCTTCAGATAGGTTCCTCCAATGAAATTGTCAGAACTCCTTTGTTTAGCTGTGAAAACACAAATACTCATGTAGAGCTTACCCCATTAACCTATTAAAACTAGTAGAAAATTTACCATGAAGCTCAATCCAAACTGGAGGGAGAAGCTTGGAAGAGAATTTTGAAGCAGCTGTAGTGTGTAAATCATCTGAAAGATACTGGAATTCTCATTGATGGCGTTGCAACACGTACCTCCTGCTGAGTTCCAATTTTCTTCTGGTTGTCATCCCTTACCATTCCAAAGAAGCTCCTGCTATCCCCAGTCCTTGCCTCTGTGTCCAGTAAATCTTGAACGCCTGAAAATGAGATACATCAGTCTAAAGCATCACCTCTCAAAGATAGTTTGCATCTATTAGCACAGTTTCCTTTGATTTTTTTCCAATTTAACCCAAATATCTGGCAATTACATTACTACTGACTTGCATATCCTGTGATCAGCGGGTATCTGGTGGTTTGAAATACTAGAATTCAGTCAAAGATTTTTATATTAACACAGGACCTAATTTAGGCAGTAGGTTGGAACATTGTCCTTTTGTTTCTTGTTTCTATTAGACTCTACTTATATAAGCATTCACTTGTGCAATTTCTGTCAAAACAGTTGCAAGTGGACATTGGAAATGTTAGCAAGTCAATCATATTTAGATCTTCGTGTTCAAGAGTTGCATTTCGTGGCTACCAAGCAGTTTATCAGGTACTCATATTTTGGTGAGAGGAAGGTCCATATCTACATTAAATGTTCTATTGGTTGACTTCAAAATCTTTTTGGGCCTGATATATTCATATATTATGAAATTCCTTTAGTATATGTGCCAATGATTTTAGTTCTTAAAGTTGATATGAGTTTTGTTTTGTTCATTCACTTGAGGCCTTTGTATGCATTCTAGGATGTCGAAACTAGAGTTCTAAGAGGCAAAGAAGATGAGGAGGACCCTCATCAAGAAGCTTCTGGAGACCTTAATTCTTTGAAGGTGGATATTCTCACAGTTGACATTCATTTAATGGTTGAATGATGTAGATGATTTTTCTGAGGCAATATTTTTGTCAGCTGCTTACCTTTATCATTATGTTCTAGTTTCTTATGCTTCTAAAAGTTTCCTTGGGTTGCTTTAATTTGGAACTTCTAAGTGAAATCTCTGTAGGCAGGGGATGCCTTGTCTATTGCTGCAGTTGAATCCAAGCAGCACTTTACTCAGCCTCCACCGCGCTATTCTGAAGCATCATTGGTACGAATTTTGACATGTTTGCTTATTGAAATTCACCGACTGTTTGAGATGTGTTTGGTCTTTTCTGACATTCCGTGTTGGTGCTTATGCCATTTTAATTTTCATGAAAGATTAAGAAGCTCGAGGAACTTGGGATTGGAAGACCTTCAACTTATGCCAGCACATTGAAAGTTTTACAGGTAACTAATGTTGAGAACTGATCAAACATTCTTTAGTTATATTTTAGGAAATAATAGCGAGGAAAATATGGATGCTGTTTTAGTTGTTTGGTGGTTGTTACAACGTATTAGAATGATTCCAATCATCAGTTTCTAAATATGCATTGTCAAGCCTCCCTCTGCTCCTCAATGTGGGATGCCTGCACAGATCACAATTTATGACTGCATCCAAGCATTGTAGGAAAAAAAAAAAGTAACTATGAAAATGTTTATGCTGTTTTAGTTGATTGGTTGATAGCTATGTGCATATTAGCACCGACCCTATTGCGAGTGTCTAATCTTTCCATACTTGGGTCAATCTCTTTCCCTTCAATGCGAGAAACTTTAATATATCTTACTTCACATTATATTCCACTTCTCAAACTAAAACAAAAGCTAAGCAATCATGACACTGATTGGATATGTACATCTGCTAGTTGTAATGTTTGTTATTTTTGGACATGATCTACTTTATGACTTCAGGACAGGAAATATGTGGTGACGAAAAGCCGTGTGATGTACCCAGAATTTCGTGGTCGAATGGTAGGTTCTGGTGCTATTATTCATTTTTTCCAGTCTACATTGTGTGAGATGACCAATAATGTTGATCAGTTGGGGTGATGCTAGGTCTCAGCATTTCTCTCAAACTATTTTACGGAGGTCACAGATTACAGCTTTACTGCTGATATGGAGACTGAGGTGACCTTTTAACCACCAATCCTAAAAACTCAAAATAAAATATCTTTACTTTGGTAGGATTCTCATTCTTCTCGAGCTGATTTCTGAACTTGTCTTTTTCGCACGTAGCTTGATAATGTTTCTGCTGGACTTACTGAATGGAAAGGTCTTCTTAGAGATTATTGGACAAGATTTAGCTCATACTGCAGCAGTACCGAAACTGTCCACATTCATCAGGTAAGTTCAGAGTGCTGCAATCAATTTTAATTCCCAGATGTAAATTTCTTTCCCCCTCTTGTTTGGAACACCAGTGGAAAGCTCAACCTCCCTTTTGCTTGTGTGATATGCTTACAGGTGGAGAAAATGTTAGAAAAAAAGTTTGGCGACCATTTGTTTGGCTCACTCCGTTCCGAAAGCAGGACTTGCCCGAGGTAATTCTTTTCTAATGTTCTATTTATATGTTGCTAGGTTAACTAACCACAATTCTTTGTTTGTTAAAGCCGCTGCTTACTCACTGCAGTGTGCATAAGCCTTAGTTCGTCAAGTTACTGAGACATTTTCTTGTTACATTGTATCATTTCAGTTGTATGGAGGGCACTTTGATTTTCAAAGTGAGTAGGTATGGTGCAGGTTACTTCATCGGCTGTGATCAGCATCCAAAGTGCAAGTGGGTATATCAAAATATTTTTAAGAGCTTATATTTCTTCTTTGTTTTCAACTGTTTACAATTTGGCTCATTTTCTTGGAGTTTATATTTGCAAGGTACATTGCGAAGACATTGCTTGGAGACGAAGAAGATGAAGAACCTCCCCAAAATGCTGGTACGGTGGAGGAGCCAAAAGTATTAGGTCTTCATCCAATTTCCAAGGAAAAGGTATGCCTAACCTCTGTTATTCTCACAAATTAGCCTTCGAACTTGAGTGGTGGTTCTTGATTTATTTGAAGTAAATGATGACCAGATCATCCGTCCTTTGTTTTCCAGATTTTATTGAAGAAAGGTCCTTATGGATTCTACATTCAGCTTGGGGAAGATAAGAAGGACTATATCCCTAAAAGAACATCCGTATCCCATGTAAATGTAGCCGTTTCTTTTCTGCAATTATCTGTTTGCTATCTAAAATTAAAGTTCCTTTTGCTCAGCTAGTTGTGTATCTGTTTGCAATTATCTGATAGCACCTTATGTCTCCAGATAAAGGAGGTGGATGCCATTACACTGGAGGAGGCTCTAAAATTGTTGCGCTACCCATTGACATTGGTACGCCATATCCAGCAAACCCTGGAATTGCAGATGCTCTTCTTTTCAATTCTTAACTCAAAACTTAATCATCTTCTCCAGGGAGACCACCCAAAGGATGGACATCCTATAATATTAAAGCTTGCAAAGAATGGGTTTAATATTAGACATCGACGCACAATTGCCTCCGTCCCCAAGGTATGTCCTTTTGTTACAAAGTCTGTATTTAATGGGGGATAGGAGATCGACGTTCTAGAATGATCGTCATCCGAATGTTTGCTTGCTGCATTCCTTGTCCCTCTGGGTTTTGATACATGGTGTCCCCTTCAATATTTCAGAACGTGGATCCAGACGAGTTAACCGTGGAGAAAGCGTTGGAGTATTTGTCAAGTAACGATGTTAGAAGAAGCGGGCGACCCAAGAGGCAACCCAAGGTCGAAGAACCTGCAGCAGTGGAAGCAACATAGACGGGAAGCCAGGTCGGTCTGTGCAAAGCTGCTTTTCGCTGAAACAGCCCTATTGCAAATGCGGAGTTCAGTAGCACACAATCCCAGGAACTCGACGAAGGACGACCGCTCGAGTAGTTTTCACTCCCGGGACCCTCGTTTGGCACACCTATATATTGCGGAACCGGGAAGAGATTCTTTTTTGTGATGAATGGGAGTATGCAAAGTTTTGGTTGAAGAAACTTGGACTAGTGTATTTTTGTAGTGATTTCTTATTTTCCCGAATAAATTTCATGACAGGTAGTAGCTGAGAAAGGAAGTCTTGTATAGACATAAGTTGAGAGTTCACTTACATTTCTATAGAAACTAGATAATTGGATTATTGGAGGTTTTTGGTGCTGAGGTTTTGGTGCTCAGATCTCTGCGTCAATTGTGTGTCATTTGATTAAATACAGTCTTTCTTTCTGTGGGGGAGTCTCACTAGTTAGTTGAATGGTTGCATTCGTGAAAACATCATTTAGATTTGGTGACCTGACTTGAAATTGACGAATTATGTTAGTATCTATGATTTTGAGAAAGGGTAACCAAATTTGAAGGCCGCAAGTAGAAGTGAGATGGTTCGGTTCAAAACAAACTCTTATATTCAATCCATTTGGTTAGGTCCAAATATCAATCCTGTCTAAGGGTGCGTTTGGATAAGTGTATTTTAAATGTAAGGTATTTGGAATACTAGCATTTGAAATGGATGTATTTGAAATATTAGCATTTGAAATACATGTAATTCAAATTCATTGTTTGGATACTCATTTGTAATTTGTTTGTATTTTGTATTTTATGATTTTGAATTTCAATTTTTAAATATCTGATCACTTACTACAAATTCTGGTAAATTACAGTTTGGTACCCAATTTTTTTTACACAATTTAGTACCTAGAATTTTAAAATTTTACAAAAAGGTCCTGAAATTTTGATGGTAAAATTAGATTTTGGTACCTTAATATGTTTTGCCTCGCACTATAGTACCTAAACTTTTCATATTTTACAAATAGGTCCATTCTTTTGTTAGGAAGTATTTCAAATCACTAGTTATTGAAATGTATTTGAAGTTGACAAAAAATACACTAGAGATGTATTTGGAAATCACCCCATAAATTTGACACAAATCCAAATACCAAATGTAATTAATATCCAAACACATAATTTAGTATTTGGAAATTCAAATCACAAATACCAAATCCAAATCATTGTATCCAAACGCACCCTAATACATTTTCAAATATCGTAAATTTCATGAGATCAAGAATCAAACAGCATTATCTTCAGTGCAATCCAGCCAAGGTTGAGCTTGGTCCAATATCCAAACCATTACACACCGCTAGCAGTACTATTACTCTATTAGCAAAGTGCAAACAAACAGAAGAGGGCCAAATATGAAGGCCACAACACAGCTGAATTATGTCAAGAGTTCTTTTTCATTCAAGAAAAGGTCACACATTTATACAATCAAATAACCAATGCTGAATGGGGGGAATGGCAAAGAGAAGACAGCCAACACTTCATCATTCGTAATTAATTCTTGCTGTATTCCAAAAAATGCTACATTGAAAAGGTAGGGCTGACGTCACTGGTAAGCTGCAGCCCCGATCAGCACCATGCTGATCCCTCCTGGGCTTGGAATTCGACCATCGTTTTCATTCTGCACTTCGATAAAACAACAAATAAACAAACATGGGGAAAAAAGAGAATCATCAGAGGAAGGGAGGAAGAGTAGTAGCCTCAGAGATCTTGGTGGTAAAGAATCATCATTGATGAGACAAAGCTCACAGTCAAGAGTAGCAAATATATAGATTCTACATCACCGGCACCATTATCATTGATTCTTCCTCCCAACCCAGTTCAAGTTCAATGCTTTACCATCTCTATCCAATCATAGAGAAGAAGGAAAAAACGAAAGGAAAGGAGGAGAACGATTTGAAATACAAAAATGATGGCGTATGAGGAGAAGGGTCAGAAGTAGCTGGTGATTAATCACTATATAGATTCAGTGGGAATCCGTCTGATTTCTTTCATCACCCCCCTCTCCTCTCTACCTTCATACTCATGGTAAAGTGTTTTCGAAGAAAAGAAAAAACGAAAACCAGAAGAAGTGTATGTATCAGCCTTGTCACCGACAATCCCTAGGAAAGGAAAGTCGGAGCTAAAAGGCAGAGGCGCAGTGGAGTCTATAATCCACGGCGCACTCTTTCACTTTCGCCTGACGATAGATTCCCTTCAGAGATCTACCAACGGACCGAAATCCAGATCAGGGAATTGCAATATCAGGCGCGAATGAATGATAACTTAAACTCAATACAGAAGACAGAGAGAAAGAAAAGCAAGCAGTTGAACTGAATCGATTCCAGAAAGAAAGCGGGTAGCTTGAGCTTCTTCTTCCTCCTCGGCCATTGCCCAATTGGCAGCGATGCGTACAATACACACTGCAGCCGGTTCTTCACCTTATATAGGAGAGAAAACATGGCGAGAGAGGAAGGGAGAGACAGTTCTCTTTCTTTAGTCTCTTACTCTGAACAAAACCCTAGTCCAGTCCAGTTAGAAGAGCCGTAGCTCGAAAAATAATCCGGCCCAGTCACTATTAACCTAACTATCGGGCCTCTTCAAGTCGGGAGATTTTTTAACCCAAACTTTTGGGTCCGCTGCTGTTGCTTTGCCCAATGAATAGCTCTCTTTTGCTGCTTGTAGGGGTGTGCAACGGTTCGGTTCGGACCGGACCAAATTTATAAGAACCGCGGTCCATTAATGAAAGATATGTTAGGACCAAGGACCGGACCATTTTTGTATTTGGTCCATATGGTCCGGTTCGGTCCGGTCCAAATATGAGCTCGGTCCACCATTTCTTCAGTAATTATAAAATTTATTAGGACCAAGAACCAAACCGCATTTTACTCGATCTGGTCCGGTCCGGTCTTAACAACGGTTTGGTCCGATGTGATCCGGTACGGACCGGACCATTGCACACCCCTAGCTGCTTGTTTTGCAACATCCATCGTAAAATCAAGTGGCACACTCATTCTCAGTAAGTAGTCCCGTTCCACGCTCTGGTTACCTAAGTACCACCAACTAGTTTAGTCTACCATCCATTCTAGGCATTTGCCAACAATACATCGAACAAAGTTAGTTTGCTGCTAAAATCCACTATCTAACACAACAATAACAACAACAACAACAACAAATCATATACTATACTCTTGATACCCGCCACTTGATGCTTCTTCTACAGCACCGATGGAATGGGTTCCGGGGAGCTAGCAGGCCTCTCCATAAGTTGTTTCTTCTCCTATAACATGGTAGTCGCGACTCGTCGTTCATATGTTTTTTGGTCCAACCAGACTGCGGTCGAGTTGTACGACTTCCTGCTTGGCGGAGGAAGCATCCTGAGCTAACTCGGTTTCAAAAAGACCCTTCATGAATGTCCTCAAGCATCCGTTGATTATCCGTGGGGCTGCGCCATCGCAGAACCTTTTAGCGAGATCTACAGCCTTCATTTCCGTTTATTGCAATTCAATATCATGAAGTCAGAATGAATGGCTAACGATGCAAGGCAGTCAGTAACACAAATGGAAGGCTTCTGGCAAAGATCAATGCTTTGGTACCTCGTTGATGACAATCTGGTGTGCTGTCCCGATGACTATAATCTCAGACATTGCTAGATGGAGGATGCTGAGCTCCAAAATTTTGCTTGCTGGTTCATTCTGAACATTAAGAACAAGAAAGTTACTACAATGTTGCAGCCTAGAATACAACGGAAGAGAAAAATATGAGTTATGGTGAATTTATCCCATTGACTTACGGCCATGCTCCATCCATAACTTAGCAACAAAAGCATCAATAAATTTATTATTAGTATGCCCTAAAAGTGGAAATAGTGCAGACGTCGCATGCACAACTACAAATATCATGGGGGAAAATGTGTTTCGGTTTAAACCCATAATAGAAGCTGGTGCAGAGAGGGAATAGTTTCCAAGTGAACAAAGAAAGCACGTTCCAACTATCTTATTAGCAAATTCTCCATTTATAACAATTCTTAGTAAGAGCTTCGATTCTGTATCCGTTCTCCTTGTCCTAAGAGGATTGTGGACGTACAGACCTTTACACAAAAGAGAAGGATGATAGTATGCATACCTTCCAGTTCGCAGGAGCTATTTCGTCTATAATTTGGACATGACTATCCCACTTGTCCACAACAGCTACCAAAAGCTTCCTTGTTAGACTGCCACAATATATTGAGTAGAACTGCAGTCAATACAATGTATCTCGACTAAAGCATTCATCTCTTAACTAGCAGAATATGTACTTGCCGTAAAACCAGTTTGCTGTATACCAGCTTCGGAGGCGCTGAAAGGACTTCAGCTTCTGAAATGAAAGCAATAACAAAGGCATCAAGGTCCCAGCAAAATGTGGTATTCTATTCTATCATTTTTGTAAACGCAATTTATATTAATAGCATTCAACAGTCCAGAACTCTGCTTGTTTCAGGTTAGATAGTAGCAATAAGGTGTGTCACAACTCACAAGCGCTGGTGGCCCTCTACAACTCACTTGCCATGAGAAAGAAGAATTCAAGCAACTACATTCATGCAGCCATGAACAAGTACTGTCCCAAAAGGATAGAAGATATAAGTACCAATGGCGGATTCATGGTCATTTCTGCACAGCAGCTCATCAGCTTCTTCAATGGTCTCCGTTGTAACAGGTGGTCCTCCGAAATTCATGTGGTTATACTCCAACAGAGACGACTTATCAAACTCATACCCAGGCTCTGGATTTCCAACATTTCAGAAGAAACCAAATCAGTTAAAGAGTAAAGCTTTATCTCAATAGCCAATCCAAAAGCTAACTCATCATTTCAGGAATCACCTCTTCTTGCATTCATCCGCTTCTCAAACAGTCGAATTGGGTCAGACCCTTCTAAACACGACGCATAAACGATCAATCTACATGCCAAAAGAATTCCAAATCAGTCTCCATCAAACAGAGTACCAACCAAGACGAATGCAGAAACGGAAGAAGCATCAACAGAAAGGGCTCATAACGTGTTTGTGAAAATAGCTGAAAACATCTTCAAAACCTCGGGGGGCGGAGGTAGGAGGTAAACACTAACAGATGCACGCAGGTTTGAAACCCTTTCGAGCTTCATGATATCCACATTTGGATTTCCTTACTAACAGGAAGCAATAATTCGAATTGCTGATGAAGGTTAGATGCTCGCTCAGAAACTCAAAAGACATAGACTTACTAAAACCCATCGAAATTTGCGGATAATGAACGCTACTACAGTGATTCTGGAGGTTTACTGACACAAAAAGCCATGGAAAGCAGCAGAAGAGAACTACAAAGTTAGGAGGCACGTACAGAGCGAGCTCCCGAGCAGCTCGTGGGCTGCAAAACCTCCCACTCTTGTCAATCTTGGGCATCGCGACATCCATGGCGTCGGGCGAAGCGTCGGTGGTGGCGGGAGTTTGAACTACCTGTAAGGAGGACGCCCGGAGAGAAGAAGAAGACGCGGAGGGGACGGGAAGCAGCAGCGAGAGCGGGCTGAAGAGGTGTGATTTGCGGAGGGGAATTGATGACCGGGAACTACCGATTCTGAGGTGAGGGATTGAACAAATGGGATAGGAAGAAGAAGAAGGAGACGGTGAGCAGGAAGCAGCGGAAGAAGTAAGAATGGAGGCGGTTGCTTCCATTTTCGCAGTTGCAGAGAAGCTCTCTCTCACTCAGTCGGTCGGTCTGGCAAACACGGTAAGGACCTAAGAACCTTGGAGCGGATAACGAAATTTAAATTACACTTCGCCCCTCAAAATTTAAGCATACTGATAAATTGCTCCTTTATTCTTAAAATCTTTCATGTTGCTACTTTCTTCATTCTTGAGCTAACCCAAGACTCACAATCCACAACTACTATATACACCATGAAAATACTTAAAAGAGGAAAATTATAGAAAAGAATCACAATGTACAAATCTTCATCTTCGCCTCTTCAGGGGTCTGGCATGGCTGCTGTCAACAGTACATGACTTCAGCTCATTTCCAGTTTCCACAGCCGCTCTATACAGAAGCAGGTTCATTCTGCAAATACCACCATCCAGCTAATTACATCATCGTTTCAGTAGAAATGTTGCAGAATGCATGAATTTTCAGATATCGACGTATTTGTGTGAGATGTAATCGTAAGAATGTGTGTAATATCAAGATACAACGTTCGTCATGAAGCTATTATAAAGACACTGGACTTGGTGTTTTTCCCTATCGTATTTAGACAAGAAGATGATGCATTGTTGAAGAAACCATGTATTTTTGCAATCAACAACGATAAGCAACATCGACTGAATCAAGGTATAAAAAATGGGGGCTATGAATGATCACTCACTAGTTTGAGAGAAACCTGGGAGGAGCTCGGGGAATGAAGGGGAGTATTGCCAGCAAAAAAAAGGCTGTTGTTGCTGCATACTCTCCTCGGCAAGAGTTCTCAACCGGTTGAGTTCAGGCAAGATCACCTTCCCCAGATCAGGCCGATCCTTCCTTCTCAACTCGGCGCACTGCAGTGACAACTGAGCAAACTTCTTGGCCTCTTCCATGGGCCAATCGGGCACAGCGGGATCAAGCATCTGAACCAGCGTGTCCCTCTGAATGGCTCTGTCCACATGGTGTGTCAACCCCATCGGTGGCTTGGCAGTGATTATCTGCAAGAACATGATCCCAAGGGAGTAAATGTCGGACTTGATCCCCAGCATTCCTGTCTGCTGGTACTCTGGATCGATGTAGCAGAATGTTCCCGCGGTGGATGTCATTCGGTACTGTGTAACGCTGTCTGCCACCGCAGGCGGGACCAGCCTAGCCAGACCGACGTCGCTGATCTTGCTGACGAAGTTCCGGTCAAGGAGAATGTTGCCTGGTTTCAGGTCTCGATGGACAAGAGGTTCAGGCTTGGTTTGGTGGAGGAATAATAAGCCGGTTCCAATTTCTGCAGCGATACGAAATCTCTGCTGCCATGATAGAGGAGGGGTGTTGCCTCGTCGGAAGAGACGGTCTTCTAGGCTTCCATTCGCCATGTACTCATACACCAAGCATCCATAGTCCGGGCAAGCACCCAGTAGGAGGACCATATTTGGGTGCCTAATGCAACTCAACACCTCAACCTGTGAAAAAAAAAAAAACAAATTCCAACTCAACAGTACCATTTTCACAATCCACCCCCTACATATCTACTTTGAATAGCTAGTTATTCTTCACAAACAATCTATTTCAAGAATACACCACGCAAAGAAAACTCGTTACTAGCATTCGTTAATGTATATATACCTCCTGCTGAAACTGGGACCTTCCTTGAGCAGCATCCGGTCGAAGGACCTTTATGGCAACAGGTGTATGGTCAAGATTGCACCTGTAGACAGGACCATAACCTCCTTCTCCAATTTTGCGTGAGTTGGAGAAATTTTCAGTGGCAGCTTCAATATCCTCAATGCTATACTTTCTGTATCTGACATCAGAGTGCATGATAGTGTCAAGTGTTTTCTTCTTCTCTTCAGCTTCTTTAATTGCTTTCATCTCCGCGTCAATTCTCTTCTGTGCTTCTAGCTCTGCAATCCTCTGAGCAGCTTCAGCGGCTTCGATAGCTGCTTTGGTTTTCGCTTTCTCCTTCTCAGCTATTGCCAAAGCAGTTTCCTCAGCCAGTCTTGCTTCTTCTAGCCTCCTCTCTTCTTCTAGCTTCCACATTTGTAGATCCCTTGTCTGGTAGTTCAAACCCCAAAAAATGGTTTAGCTTTTCCAATTACTGATGCAAGTAAAGTTTTTCAGTATACTTCATGCATTGCTTACTTACCTTCTGTTGTGCTACAAGCGCTTCTTTACAGGCTGTGCTGTACATTTCCATTGTTTGTTTTAGCTCTAGCTTCAACCTTCTCATTTCAGCTTCCACATCGTCCTGCAACAGTTACAGACTCGTTACTTGAGCAAAAGTTGTTTCATCTTAAAATGGTTTTGCTTGAAAACCAAGCATGCAGTTTACCATGGATTGTGATACTGACGAGAGCCTTTCATTTTCCTGGGAGACTGATGACAATCTAGGGGAGGAGGTGATATCTAGTGATCTCCTACCAGGTTGCATTGCCGACTCAAAGCTGTTGAGATCGCTTTCTAGCTCAGAAAGATTTGATAGCCTTGGTGGTCGTCCTGCATCTGGATTGTTGTTACTATCATAGAAAGCTGGGAACATGCGATCAATGCTTGGTCTTCCGGAGCTAACAAATGATATATCTGTTTCGGCCAAGTTTATATCACCATATGATTTCACATTCACACCTTTCCTCGTCAATGGAGACCTGTTTTCCGACATAAACAAAAAGAACAGAACAATCTGTTAGCCACATATATATCCTGTTATGTGTTCTCAAAGCAGCATACTAGTTGAATTACTAACCTGAAAAAATCTGAATTCTCACTACTCGATTTCCGTGGTGGATCAATTGGAGGCCTCTCGCCTGATGGTGGAAATCATATGTTCTATTATCAAACTACAAATTTCTGACTTGACTTTCAAAACTCATTACATTGATTTGTACAACAAGAACAAGACCAACAAGAAGAAAAGAGAAAAGCATTCATAAGTTATTACCTCTTCTAGCTGGCGGGACAGAATTGTCAGATGAACTGGATTTAATGCTTGATTGGCTAGAGACATTGCGGAAAGGAGAGATTTGGGGAGCAGGACGAGAAGCAGATCTTGCAGACTGGATTTTGGTTTTGGATATAACATACACTGTACAAAAATCAGGTGCCCCTTTCGACACAGCCCCAGGTATGTCTGTGGTCTTGAATCTTGCATGAAGAAGAAACTCTATGGAAGTTAAGCAAAACCCACTTCTCCATTTGGGAAGAATTTAACACTAGTTAAAACTCAAACAATCAAAGGTACCTGAACAAGCCCCCTTTGGAGCCGGCTCCCAATACTAAGGTCTCAATCGCCATCTGATTCGAATACTCGATCAATGCTTTTGCTACATCTGAATCTTCCAGCACAATGTCTTGACATTGAATCTGTGATGCAAATGCAATACCCACAATGACTAAGTATCATATGAATGTACATTGGTATTGATTTACCCATGAAAGTCAAATTGATTGTTCATTCATACATACGTCTTTCCGAGTGCAGAAGCATCGAAAAGGAAGGAACAACTCCCTGGTTTGGGAATCAGGGTTTCTGCAAACCAACGAGCTTTCACCATTGGCATCAATCACCTGGTTCATTCCTGCAGTTGAAACATGGTTATATGTATATGATTATAAAGTTTACGAGGTTTTCAATTGAACAAAATTGAAATGGGGGTTCGTCTTACTGGGAGCAGAGGAGGATTGAGCCTGCTGCTTAACTTTGACATGAATGAGAATCACGGTCTGGCCTCTCTGGAGAACATTGTCGATAGCCCATTTGAGGGCGTTTTGGCTGGTTTTGTCCTTGTCTACTGCCACCGCCACCACGCCATTACCGGCATCCTTCCTTTCCGTGATTGTTCTTGGCATCCACATCTTCAATGCGTTGCGTTATTTCTTCTTCTTTCGGCTTCGATTCTTTCTTCGTCTCCTCCTTCTCGTCTACCTGAAACAACAAGCTGCTGGCAATGCCGATTCCGGTTCTCTAACCTCCTCGTCTCTCTCGAAAGCTGCAGAGAGACAGGAAGGCACCATTTTGTCTCTGTTCGTCGACTCCTCGACGTTGGTTTTCTCTACCTGTCTGTGATTGCAGGTGTTCTCCTTTTGGTTTCCCTTCGCCTTCTTCTTCTTCTTCCTTTTTCCCTTAATTTTTGTTTTTTGGGTCAGGTCGAAGGATTGAGTTCTTCTGGTATTGGGAGGAAGGAGAAGGAAGGAAAGCAAACCCCGCGCTCTGAAGCTGCAAAATTTCCGAAAAAATAGTTGGTGTAGATCGGCCCCTGGTTTAACTATTCTTTTTGGATGGTTTCAAACCGCCAAATACTCAAATAGTCAAATTTGTCTCTACCAGGCAGAATATGGTTCTTCTAATCTTCTCGTTTCAGCTCCTTCCAATTTAGAATGGAAGGCACTTATGCCCAAAAATATTATTAGTCAATAGTCATGCGGGTTCACATACTCAGAAAATATCACATATATTAGTTGGTTTTTATAACAAGAAACTCATTCGACATATACCACTTAATTAATATTATCTTCAAGTAAATTTTAAATTTATTGATCTGATACAGTCATATCGTTAAGGTTCGGAGATAGATTATTGCTAGCACGAGAGCCTGATCACCCTGCAAGTAGTGCTAACTGCTAAGATACTCCTCGCACATCAAATGCTACTGGAGGAACCCCATGGCCACTCAAAGGGCCAACCTGGTCAACGAGGACTCCATGGACGGTGGAAGCACCACCTGAGGATCGAACTTGAAATCTTTAGGTTTGCACATAGAGACATTGGACTGGTCGGTTACAAGCTCTCATTCTCTATTTGTTCATTCAATATCTAATTTTATTTTCCACAATTAACGTAAAAGTTATTTTCGATTCTAAATCATAAATATTAACCAACTAATTTGGTATGTTTATTGTTCAAGATCTAATGATCAACAACGATGCCAGTTTCACTATTATTGATCAATACAACTCAAATTGTTCTTGTTGTTTTACATGTGACATGTAGATATTATATGTCCAACAAACAATG